AGTTGTGGGGTAAGTTACAGCATGGCCCTATTCACCATGCTCTTGGTGGGTGGTAGTTCCCATCCAGCATGACAGGGGTATAATTCCTGCCATGGCAAGTGTACTTCCCCAGCCACTACCATACCAGCTAAAGGGGGGAGCAGTTGAGGGATGGTAAAAATGTGTCTCAACCGCAAGGTTTTACTGCTCCCTCAACCACAAGTGTAACAAGCCCTTGCATATTCACCACTCCAGTGCACACAGTCACAGTATCCTTGAACACAGTCACACCAATCCCAGTGTCACCATAAGGCATTATTCACATGAGATGCATTAATGTGTTCCCTGTGTCTCATTCATGTCTATTGGAACACAGCTGCTGCAGGAAGGAGGTGAAACAGTCCAGTCTTGAAGTGGTTAAAGTAAGTAAACAAATAACAGACTTACTGCCCAGATGACCAGGTATAAAGGACAAAAGCCAAAAAGAAAAAAAAAAGAAAACAAATGCAGCCACCACATCCAAGAACTGGTGAGCTGCAATTTAATATATTTTTGGCTTTGGGTTTAATACCACTTAAAAATAACTGCAGATATTCAACCATGTACAATCATCCTGCAATTCTTTGAAAAGTAAGTTACCTCTGTGTCCAGCCATATCTGTTCAGTGATGGCTCCAGCAAACTCTGGATGTAGTGGAACCAAGATCATTTATAAAGTGCAGAAGAATTCTTTCTAGAGCTGGGTAAACAATTCCTTCTCAGGATACGCTGCTCCTGTGTTTGGAGCAACACAGACCATAGAAACCTTGTCAATGCTGTAAGCTGATCATTGAGTTTATTATGGTAAAAACAAACAAGGTTGCAGAACTAAGGCTAGTCATAGATGCCTCATTTTTGTTTTTCAATCAGCCAGAGGGCTGATCGAAAAAAAAAACAAGTGGTTCCCCTATTCACACATGTGAGGTGAATGCAGGAATCCACCCTGCTTTGCCTTTGTATTCTGACAGGGGTACTGCAGCTACTGATCAACAAAAGTCTTCCAACAGTCCCACTCGACAGAAGTAGACTGTGAATGGCCATAGATTGAGCGAAACTTGGTCGGTCCCTGCTGAACTGGCCAGATTTCAATCCATGGGCAGCTTAACCTGTAACTGGATTCCGGGACAGGTGACTATAAACAGCTGACACTGCAATCCCTAGACTACAAGCCCCACTATTCAAAATATATGGGCACAGAAAATATACAATGAATAATAACTAGCTATTTTATAAATATGAATAAACAATAGCTATCTTTAAAGTAGAACTCTAGCCAAGCTTTTTCTAGTCTAGGAAAGAGTAAGGGAATGTTTAGCAGCTGCCTCTGCCCCCTTTGGTGGTCCACACTATCTATATTTAAAAACTGAGCTGCACATGGGGTAGAGGGGGCAATGTTCATAAGTCAGGGGTAAGAGCTGAGAGTGCAAAAATGTATATACAGGTGAAACTCGAAAAATTAGAATATCGTGCAAAAATTCATTTATTTCAGTAATGCAACTTAAAAGGTGAAACTAATATATGAGATAGACTCATTACATGCAAAGCAAGATAGTTCAAGCCGTGATTTGTCATAATTGTGATGATTATGGCTTACAGATCATGAAAACCCCAAATCCACAATCTCAGAAAATTAGAATATTACACGCAATCAATAAAACAAGGATTGTACATAGAACAATATCGGACCTCTGAAAAGTATAAGCATGCATATGTACTCAGTACTTGGTTTGGGCCCCTTTTGCAGCAATTACTGCCTCAATGCGGCGTAGCATGGAAGCTATCATTCTGTGTTCCTAATGTGCTTTGATACAGCACTTTGGGAACATCCAACTTCGTTTGCAATTACCTTTTGAGGCTTTCCCTCCTTATGGAGGGTGTCAATGATGGTTTTCTGCACAACTGTCAGGTCAGCAGTCTTTCCCATGATTGTGATTCCTACTGAACCAGACTGAGAGACCATTTAAAGGCTCAGGAACCCTTTGCAGGTGTTATGGCTTAATTAGCTGATTAGAGTGGGACACTTTGAGCCGAGAATATTGCACCTTTTCACAATATTCTAATTTTCTGAGATTGTGGATTTGGGGTTTTTATGAGCTGTAAGCCATAATCATCACAATTATGACAAATCACGGCTTGAACTATCTTGCTTTGCATGTAATGAGTCTATCTCATATATTAGTTTCACCTTTTAAGTTGCATTACTGAAATAAATGAACTTTTGCACGATATTCTAATTTCACCTGTAATTGCAGCCTTAATCTATAGCAGATACAATACTGATAAAAGTCAGCACTGGTTGCAGCAGCAACACACAGACACCACCATCTATAAAAACCTGAAAAAAAAAATACTGTCACTTTGCATGGTCACATAGGGCACTGAACCTTAACTTTTGATGCCTCCCCCCCCCCCCCCCAACCAAAATCTACCTGTTCTGTAAGTATCATATTATATGACCACTTGGTAAATCGAGTCCCTATTCCTGTATTTTGTTAAATGTGATGTTCATAAAATGAAGAAAATCTAATTAGAAATAATATACATTGAGTCAAATCACATAATACTACTTATTTGCAAGAGCAAAATGAACAGGGTAGATGATTTCTTGCATCTAGCTGACATCAATAATTCATCTGATAGTCCATATACATTTATCCTGACAGTGGCATTCTGATATTTACATTAGAGTAAAATAGTTTGCATTATTTATTATTATGTTCTTATGTTTCTTCTGAGTATAATATTTGCATCTGTGTAGTCATAGTGAGCTGGATATATTATGAAATTAAAGGGAAACTGTAGTCTTTTTAAGATTGAACTCTGGACCGGTAAAGACATTTATGCATTTATGTACGGTAAGTGCTCATTAATAAAAATTATTATATGCATTTTGCATAAAAATTATACTCTGTCCTGTTATCAGCCTCCAGTAATCTCCTTCATGGCACTCCAGCAGGGGAAGGAAGTCAGCAATATAAGCCAATTAGGGCTCTATTACTTATAGGAAACATGATTACAGAAGGGGGGGGGGGACCCAGGATTGACCCTTTCAGTATACCATTTCTCTTTCATTGCCCAGTCACAGGCTAGGATGGGACCTGGACAAGGCAATATTTCTCAACTATAATGTGGTCTGCAGGGAAGTCCAGGATCTAGTTGTTCTGCCTGAGCAGAATTACAAATCCTTTAGCAAGTAAAACAAATAAATGTAGCTATTTGTAAATTTGACTTTATGATTTTTAAATATACTGTACATGGGGAATCATTAAGTTTATTGTAAACAGCTTTACAAATCTTGCTACTTTGTATAGTTTGTAATTATACAAGTACACAGAGGTAACCATATTTGCTTATTACATATTCAGACTCTGCTTCCTGCTTTGCTGTATGGCCCATAGTCAATATGGGCAGAAGCTAAGCAATTGCTGCAAAATGCAGATTACAGGCACTGGAGGGAGAATATACACATTTGTATATTTAATTGAAGTTATTATAATGATGCACCAGGCCTGCAAATTAACACAAAACATAAAAACTTGCAAAGGCATCTTGGCTTGCTCACTCATGGCAAAGTGACTGTTGTTTCCCCATGCTTCCCTGCAGCTCCATTGGAGTACTAACATCTAACCTTGTGTGACTACGTTCTGTGCCAGAGTTTACAAGGGGTTAATTACCTCTCCTACTTGGCACTAGACTGCATTTGGATCTGGTGACTGGCCGCTCATGTAATTTTGGAATAAGGTCACATGCTTCTCCATATCCGGAAGGGCCAGGTATCCACTGAGGGTTCCAATGATGTAGGTAAAGTCACAGATTCCCTTTAAAGTGAACCAATACTTTGCACATACAGGACAAAATAACTAGTTCACTGCAGCCCTCTTCTCCTACCTTACGAATTCACTTTCTGTTCAAACCCCCTCCTTTGTTGGACTGCTGGGAGTGAAAAAAGGAAGACCTTTGTGCACTCGAAGTCACTCTAATTGCAGCTTGCACAGATCTGAGAATTCACTCTTCATCCCCAGTTGACAGCTCTGAGTGCCTAAGCAGTCAATCATGAGCACCAGTGAAGGAGAGTGAGTCACAAACTCTTCCATACTCAGAAGTACTGGGTATTTGTCTTTACTATTAGTGGCTAAACAAAGCGGTAGCGGAGCAAAGGGAGTTTGAGTGGCTAGGGAGAGCATTTGCAAAGCAAGTAAACTTGTTGCTTTGCCTTGTGTCAGGTTCATTTTAAGCAAAAATCTAGCCAAATATTATAACAAGAGACACACCACAAAATCCTTCAATGCCAACAAAAAAGATTGACTGTTTTTTTTTCCATAATATACACTATATTGCCAAAAGTATTGGGATGCCTGCCTTTACACGCACATGAACTTTAATGGCATCCTAATCTTAGTCCGTAGAGTTCAATTCTGAGTTGGCCCACCCTTTGCAGTTATAACAGCTTCAACTCTTCTGGGAAGGTTGTCCACAAGGTTTAGGAGTGTGTCTATGGGAATGTTTGACCATTCTTCCAGAAGCACATTTGTGAGGTCAGGCACTGATGTCAGAGAAGAAGGACTGGCTCGCAGTTTCAGCTCCTATTCATCCCAAGGGTGTTCTATCAGGTGCAGGCCAGTCAAGTTCCTCCACCCAAAACTCGCTCACCCATGTCTTTATGGACCTTGGTTTGTGCACTGGTGCGCAGTCATGATAGAACAGGAAGGGGCCATTTCTAAACTGTTCCCACAAGAACAAGTAATTGTCCAAAATGTCTTGGTATGATGACCCTTTAAGAATTACCTTTGCTGGAACTAAGGGGCAAAGCCCAACCCCTGAAAAACAACCCCACACCATAATCCCCCTCCACCAAACTTTACTCTTGGCACAACGCAGTCAGGCAAGTACCGTTCTCCTGGCAAATGCCAAACCCAGACACATCCATCAGACTGCCAGACAGAGCAGCGTGATTCGTCATTCCACAGAACACGTTCCACTGCTCTAGAGTCCAGTGGCGGTGTGCTTTACACCACTGTATCCGATGCTTTGCATTGTACTTGGTGATGTAAGGCTTGGATTCAGCTGCTCGGCCATAGAAACCCATTCCAAGAAGCTCTCTACGCACTGTTGTTGTGCTAACCTGAAGGCCATATGAAGTTTGGAGGTCTTTAGCTTTCGACTCTGCAGACAGTTGGCGACTTCTGAGCACTGTGCTCTTCAGCATGCGCTGACCCCACTTTGTCATTTTACGTGGTCTACCACTTGGTGGCTGAGTTGCTGTTGTTCCCAGTTGCTTCCACTTTGTTATAATACCACTAACAGTTGACCGTGGAATATTTAGTAGCAAGGAAATTTCACAGATAGACTTATCCCAGTAACAAGCTTGAATTCACTGAGCTCCGAGAGAGCGACCCATTCTTTCACAAATGTTTGTAGAAGCAGTCTGCATGCCTAGGTGCTTGATTTTATACACCTATGGCCATGGAGGTGATTGGAACACATGAATCCAATGATTTGGAAGGGTGTCCCAATACTTTTGACAATATAGTGTATATTTTATTAAAAAATCTGTAGAATTTTTTTTAAGTTCCTTGTGTCACGGTCTGGGGTCAGGCTCTGAGACCAGTAGCTAAAGCAGTAGAGAGGCTCCCACCAACCAGCAAGATCACAAGCAGGTCACCCTGGCGGATGATGTGGGGGGTCTAAGGCACCTGATGGTGGTTTGGTGGAGATGGTGGTTTTGTTGCATGTTTTTGTTGCAGTCCTCAGGATCATTCCACCACATGAGATGAGCAAGCTGGGGTCCAGTAGCAGATGTACGGATCAGGCAGAAGTGTGGTCAGTCAACAAGCCAAAGGTCAGTAATAAGTGGTTGTGGGTTGGGATCAATCAGAACTGTACTCGAGGAACAAGCCAAAGCCCTGCACGACCACGTCATTTTTAAATGTGACAATGAGTGTGGGGAGAATATTCACTGACCCCTGTCAAGGAAGAGGGGAGGGGTTGCAAATGCTGGAACATATTACATATTCCACCCTAAAAATGGGTGGCACATGTAACATGTTGCAAAGGTGAATTTATCTTTTAAATCAGGTTCATGGAAGGAGCAAAGGGTTCAAGATTAACATGACATAATGGAAGGCTCTCTAAGGTATTGGGCAGGGAACTGTCCAGCATTCCTGATGGCTCAGAAAGATCAGTATTGGCTGGCTACAGCAGAGGACGTGGGTTCAGATCCCGATCCTGACACCCTAAAAAGGACCTGCCCGGTCAGAAATCTGGCAGCAGTATATATATATTATTTTGGAGCCACATTCTCTAAAACTGTTATTTTTATTCCTTCACTACTTGACACAACCTTGGGTATACACATATGTACACCATGTGTGAAGGCTGCTTGGTTTAGGTCAGTGATTTCTTCTCCTTTCTGCCTATATATATTCCAAGTACCCAACAACATCACAAACTATGTGTTTTAGACCTGCTAGAACATTATGCACTAAAAGGAGTAACCACACATAGATTTTTGGGGAAAGAAAATTTCTGCACATGTCTGAATGTTAGAGGCATGAGAACACTAACAGAACCAAACAGGCAAATCCGATTTGATGCACTGTGATGTGCCAGCTTAATTAGATTCATGTGAAGTTTAATGTTCTAATGCATCTCATATGTCTCTTATTTGTGTGTATTAAAATTATAATCATGTGGCTTTTTTTGGTCACCAATTTCCTTTGATTTTAGCAAGCAAACTTAGAATTTAAATCCAAGTAACCTAAATCCATATTGTAGAAGAAACCTGGCAGGAACTTCTACAAATATTTGCCCAACTACACCTTAAAAACCAACACTTTGTGTCAACACGCATAGCAGGTTCTGCAGAGGAGGTGCAGCAGGCACCCAACCAATTGACTATCTCAATAAACTGTACACAAATTAGATCAAATCTGACCTGAACTATCTGTTTTGGATAGGGTTGGTGTAGGGTTGCGAAATGCAACCAGCTATTTTCTCCAAAAGTGAAAAACATCAGGGCAGGGCAAACAACAACAGGAAACAATGCTGAGAAGGACACACACATCAATAAGAACTGAAGGGATACACGAACAGAAATCAAAAGGGACTATAACTGCACAGACAGTGAAAACACGGAGAATGAAGACAGGGTAAAACAACACACAGAAACTGGGAATAATTAAGTGGCAGCAAACACCACAAGAACCAGAGAGGTCTGGCTTCCACATGAAAGTACATTGCTCGAACAGTAACACACATGTGCAGAGGAGTAACAATACCTAGGGTCAGGTTGGATGGGTAGGAACCCAAGCAACTCGGACAAGAGGCAAAACCTGGCACAGGATCGATGTGCACAGAAGCATGACACATAAGTTTCATTCCACAAAACATCTACAACCCAAAATTCCAAAAAAGATGGCATGCAGTGTAAAAGTTACATAACAGAATGCGAAGAATAGCAAATCTCATAAACCCATATTTTATTCACAATATTAAACATATCAAATGTTTAAAATGAGAAAATTTACCATTTTAAGAAAACAAAACAGGTAATTTTGAAATTGATGGCAGTAACACGCCTCAACAAAGTTGGGACAGGGCAAAAAAAAAAAAAAGCAGGGAAAGTACAACCCCAAAGTTGGGAGAGGTCTATGTTTACCACAGTATAGCATCCTTTCTTCTATTAACAAAACCCTGTAAAGGTCTGGAAATTGAGGATAGCAATTTGCTGGTGCCTTGTGGGGAAATGTTGTCACAGTCTTAAAACCTGGATATATCTATCAAAATTGATTATTATTATACAGGATTTATATAGCGCCAACAGTTTGCTCAGCGCTTTACAATATATGGAGTCTTCCCAGATGTGCAACCAACTTATTCCATACAAACTAATGCACCACCATACCATAAAAATGCAGGCTTTTGAATGGAGCACTGATAACAAGTTGGAAGGTCCTACTCCTCTTTAGTCTAGAATGTCAAATTTCAATTTACCTCAAAACAGAGTTTTCCAGTTTGCAACAGACCATTTAAAACACTTCGGCCCAGAGAAGACAGCATCGTTTCTAGATCACATTCGCATATGGCTTCTTCTTGATCTGTAAAAACAGTTGCCATTGACTACAGTTTTCTTTCTTTTTTTATTTTTTGAAGTGTTTATTAAAGCCAGAAGGTTGGAAAGTTAAATGAAAATGGTTTTGAGGCATGTCTGTGATTGTTTTATTTTCTACACAATTAAACAATTGAATGAACACTTTCCAAGAGTGGTGATTCCATACTTTTTGCCAGGGGTTGAATTCCTGAGCCAAAGCAGTGATGACCATCACAGAATTATGCCTGTTCTTATTCCCAAGATCACAGGTATCCAATATTGCGTCTTGACCTTGTCCCTTGTGCACAGAGATTTCTCCAGATTCTTGGAATCTTTTGATATTATGTACTGTAGATGATATTTTAAAGTCTTTGCAATTAGCTGACTCTCTAAGATGCCTATTTTATACCCAATAATGTTACTGACCTGTTGCCAATTAACCTAATTAGTTGAAAAATGCTCATCCTTGTCAGTACCCCTTACTTTGATATCTTTTTGTTAACCTGTCCCAACCTTTTTGAGACGTGTAGCTGCCATCAATTTCAAAATTACCTTTTTTTAAAATGGTACATTTTCTCAGTTGATAGGTTTTCTATTTTCTATTGTAAATAAAATATGGGTTTATGAGATTGGTAAATCATTGCATTTTGTTTTTATGTAGATTTTACACGGCATTACAACTTGGAATTAGAGGTTGTATTTTTAACAGGATAAAAAAAAAAAAAAAAGACAGTGAAACAACCAAATTCACAAAAACAAAACTATCACATGAACTGATAGCAAGGTATCACAGCTCATAAGTACGAGCTATATACTCGAAGTTCTTTAACGTACACGTGCATAGTTGTTCGTGTGTGTGTATATATATATATATATATATATATATATATATATATATATATATATATATATATATATATACACACACACACACACACACACACACACACACACACACACAAAATCTCATATACACACATACTTACATGCACACTTTACAAGGTTTGCCAAATAATTTAATAAACTTCTGCAAGGAAAATGAAAATATTTCTGTGCAGCCTTCAGTAAATGTTTGCATGCCTTAATCACAAATATCATAATATAGTAGATAAATTTCTATCCATCCTTGGGAGACCAAAAACAAACAAAAAAAGCAAACATATACATTAAAAAATGCCCTGTACTGTGTTAACTAAATCCATCAGTGTCCATCACTTTATACACCATCTTCTTTGGACATTTCTCTCGTCAACTAATGTCCAAAACGCTCACATATGGTCATGTTAACGAAAGAAGCTGCTACAATTGTTTTTTCCTTTTAAACTTTTTTTCCCCTTTATTTCACCTGGTGATCCCATCAGTAACACTCTTCCTGTCTTAGGGTATCTGCTTTCTGGATGAATTAATAAAGCAGACACCTTTGGATAGTAGCGTTCTCAATCTGTGGAGAGGGTAGGGTTAAACAAATATACTTTCAGCTTCAATTTGTAAGTCAAGTCTAACTAAAAGCAAAACTTTTAGTTTTGGTTAGAGTAGAGAGGGTTCAGAACACCTGTCAGGTTTTTTCTGCTGTCTGTGTCCCCTTTAGGGAAATTCACCCTTTCTAACTGTCCTATTTAGCCAAGAATGAAAGTAAAAGAAAATCCCAAATGTTGGGTTATCAGCAGAACAGAAATCAATCTTCCAGTGGAGAACACTAGCTCTGGTGACAACCAAGGATTTCCGCACTCTGGATGATAACCTCTTACTTCCTGTTTTGGCTATGGGATAGGAAGTGAAGGGAAATCTCCCCAATGGGATGCAGATAGCAAAAAAATCTGACATGGGTTATATAACCCTCACTTACTCTATCCTAAGGAAAGGGGGAAAAAAAGGTTTTGCCTTTAGTTCTTCCTTAATTATTTTTCAATGTCACAGTAAAAACAAAATGTATTCTGAAAATTTTAAAAAATGTCCAGCTTACCTTGTGCTTCATATCCATCATGCTGCACCCCATCACCATCATCTTCATTGGATCTCATGCCAAGGGCAGACATTAGCTGTGTTACATTCATTCGAGCTGTTAATTCCCCATTACGATCCCCAATCTGTAACAACCACCAAAGCTCAATGAAAACTTCAATCTGACAATATATACTTTTAGAACAACAAAAGAGATGAGTGTACTAATTTGTTAAGTCACCTTAGACATCTTCCCTTGTGCCTTGCTCTAAAAACATGTTCTTACTTCGCAGAAATAGAACAGACTATACCAAAATACT